AAAGGGGGAAAAAAGGCTCCATTATTCTCCCATTAAACTCTCCCCAGCTCTCCCCCTTCTCTCCCTTCCCTCTGTCAGTCTTTCCTTCGCTCATTGACTTCCCCCAGCCTCTCCGAAGACAGATCGTTCCCTTAATCACTCTGGAAAAGAACCCCAAGCCGATATAATATTATAATTAATTAATTCACTAAAAAGGTATTAAATTTCTTTTCCCCCCTGTGGATATTATCTGAATTCATTGACCTTTAGAAAAATCACCCTCTAATTGTAACCAGGTTCAAGTGCATTTCCAGCCTGTCCCTTTTACATTAATAATATCTTCCAGGACTCCACTCGGCTGCTTAAATATTGTATAAATTCCACTGCCCCCTCAAAAAGGGAGACAGAGGAAGGCATGAAATGAAAACTATGAGCTGATTAAACCAGCTCTGCAGTGGGGGGGTGGAAGAGGGAAAAGAACTCCATTGTAGCATGGGAGATGGGCAAACCCACAGCGGGACCCTCAAGCAGCTGGGGATAAGGAATTCCTCACTGCCAAGGTCCCTGTGGTCACCGGCTCCCAGGTTGGAGGAAAAATCCCAGGATTGGGGTGGTTTTCCTGGGGAAGCAGTCGCCAAGCACCTTGGGGTGCAGCGTGGTGGGAGAAGGAGTCCCAGCGCATCCACTGCAACCTCCTTGGGGTGTCTGTGTGGCAGAACTGGTTTTCCAGAGGGATTCCTGACCACCGAGACAAACGGAGCACTGCTTGGCTCAGCCCTCCTTTGGGGGCCAGCACTTCCATGTGCTCCAGGGCTGCTGCTCCCTGCGGTTCCATTGCTGCATCCACTGCTCTTCTCATCCCAGGTCCTCTTTTCTGGTTGCTCTGCTGCTCTCAGCTCAGCAAGGCCAATCCAGCCAGCAATTGCTCCAGCATCCAGCACTGTAAAACCAGTGTCAGGCATGGAAAATCCAGCTGAGCTGCTGCTGTTAAGTCTATGGGGAATCCCAGGCCAAGCTCCCCTGGCAGAATTCCCAGCCTTGCCAGGGCCGGTGGAGTGGGGCCATATGGCTCCAGTGGAGACTTGGGGATGCAAATTCCTGCTGCTCTACCCGTTGTCTCTCATTCCAGCTGAATCCAACCCATGGGGGCTGTGCTCAGCCAACCAGGAGCCAGGGATCTGCTCTCTGGAGCTCAAGCCTGAGGAATTTGCATCCCCCAGGGAAGGGGGCCTGCTCCAGCATCACTGCTTCACGTGAGCTGCCAGCAGTACCACTGGCAACGGCCAGGTCATCTTCCCTGAGCCAGCCCCTGCTTGGTGAGGAAACCAAGTCATGAATCTTCTCCATGTCCTTTTGTCCCTCTTTTTCCTCCTCCCAGGGCTTTTCCCAGCATATCTGTACCCCTCTTACAACCATAACCACTCTTCAGCCCCAGCTCTGAAGGCCCCTTGCTTTATAGCACCCAAAACCAAGCACTGAACTGTCTGGAGGGGCTCCATGCAGAGCCCAAAGGGGTCCCTGACCCCAAGGCTGCTGATGGAAATACAACAGGCCAATGCATCCAGGGAATAACCCTTCTGAGCCAGAGACTCGCCCCAGGACCAGCTTGGCCCCTTCTCCTTGGAAGCAATTTCTGGACAGGCATCAGAGGTTTTCCAGTCTCTCCCTCTTTATTGCATGCAAAGATTTACTTGCAGAGATCTGCTTTGGTTTCTCAAGCCAAGGTGGCTGCGCTGCCTATTCCCCCACCTGAAAAAGCCATCCCTCCCTCCTGACCTCATCCCAACCGTTGCCACAACAACAGAGGATTGGGGCTTCAGATGGGGACAGAACAGCAGGACCAGAAGTGCTCAAAACACAGAAGGAGCTCATGAGAGCCAGGAAGGAAATGAGACATGGGGAGGAGAAGGAAAACTCAGCGAGAGCCCAGCACCGCAGTGGGGGGGGTTCTGCCAGGCTACAGGACCAGTTGGTTCCCCCCCAGGGATGCCATGGAGCCATGCGGGGATGCCTTGATCCCGGAGAGCCCAAATCACTTGAGAAGGGGACTGGAGACACATTTGTACCGTGGTACTGAAGGATGGTGCTGTGGAGGTCGCAGCTCTCTCTACACACATCTTTGCTCTCATACAAGTCCAATCTGATAATAGAACCAATGAACCCAAACCTAAGACCTTTCCATAGGGAAGACCAAGGGGATGCGGCTGCATCCTCGTGGTACCACGGCTCAGCCCATCAGTGGGTTCTGGTCCCATCCCACTTGAGTGCTGGTGCTCATCCCCCTTCACTTCTCCAGCCCGGTCCATCCCCAGCCTCATCCAGGGCTTCTCCCCTTCCGCATCTTTTGCTGCCACTTCACACAGGTCCAAGTCAAAGCCGCTTCAAAGAGGGGACGGTGCCGCTGCCCGGCGGTGGGTACCGGGAGAGATGCTCTCTCTTACCGGGGGGGGGGCAGCGATCCCGGGGGATGCTCTGGGTGCTGGGGCCCGGCGAACCCCGGCAGCAGCCCCGGGACCGCCCGGTCCTTGCAGCGGTTCCCAAGGGAGGGATGCGCTTCACTGCGCTCCGACGGCACCGGGGACACCGCGAAGGGGAAGGACGCGGCCCCGGCGGAGCCCCGCTCGCTCCGGCAACCGTCTGGCTCTCCCTGGTGGCCGCTCAGCCCCGGTGCAGCCCCGCCGGTCCCCGGTATTAACCCGGTGATGGAGGAAGGGGACACACACCAAGTAATACCCCAAAACTCCCCCGGTGCGATGACTGCAACGCGCTGCCCGGTACCCATCCCACTGCTCCGTGTGTGCATCCATCCATCCATCCATCCATCCATCCATCCATCCATCCATCCATCCATCCATCCATCCCGCGGGCAGAGCCCGGTGCAGCTCATCACACCGCAGCTCCAGCACACCCGCCCTCCCTTTTATATCCCACTTGGAGCCCAGACACCGTTTTTTCCCTGTCCGTGGGTGGCTCAGACTGTAATTAAGAGCCCTTCTCCCGCCTGCCCCAGCTCTCGGCTCCAGCAACCGCTGTTCAAGCAAAGGGAACCTCCTTCTGTCCTCTCTTCTCCTGTATCAGTTCATTTTTCCCCTCCCTTCAGAACATCAGGGGATGACAGCGCTCCAAGCCAGGGGCTTTTGCATTTCTGAGTTGGTTCTGTTAATTGGAAGGAGGGTTAAGAATCTGCAAGGTCGTTTCAATCTACATCTGACCTTCAGAGTAATCCTCTATGCCAACACCAGAGCATGTCATTAAAATGAGGCCCCTCTACCATATCCCGGCATCCCTTTATTCTCTCCTTGCGCACATTAATTGCTCATAAGTTGATTTGATCTCCCTCTTCTGCAAGAAGTAAATTGCCCTCTTATTTCGCCATTTTCATCCTGTTTTCTTAATTAGGCCCTTAAAAACCTCCAGGGCCTCAGCCGGGCCGCAGGCCTCGTCCTGGGAATAAATCCTGATCTCAGCCTGATAAAGAGTGAGCAAACGCGGAGCTCCAACAATGTCATCCTCTCCCCTGCCTCCCGCCGCGCTATTCTCTTGACATGAAAAGGCTATCAGTTTTTCCCTGTGTTAATATAGGAAATAATTCACACTTCAGGCGTTGTTCTCTATTTAGCGCTCGCGCTCCCCAGATAAATCAAAGCAGGGAGGGCTGGGGGATTTTGAAGGGTCTGAAACTCCTCGCTTTTCCTCTGCCCCCAGCCTCCTCGAGCTCCTTTTTTCTCCCCTTCCTAATAAACTTCCCAAGATTCGCCCCTGTGGTTTTCCATCCTGGCAAGTCCGTTTTAAGGTGGATTTTCCGTGTTTTCCCTCCTGTGTGGGGGTATTTAACGCCGTCGCAGCAGGGAACAGGGGAAGCAGGGCCCTGGCACGTGGCTGCACGTGGAGGGTCTGCAAACATGGCATGTGATGGGTCTTGCAAAAGCATGGGCTCAGCTCCCAGGATGCTTTACAAGGTTCATTTGCCCCTTTGCTGCGAAGAGGACATGGGGAATATCCTGCCCCAAACCCTGCCTGCATCCATGCCCAAGCCCCCAGAAGGGTTTCACAGCACCCAGGGGTGATGCTAAGCCAGCCACATTGAGATGGGGAAAGCAAAGCCCCCCCACAGCCCCATGCTTGCTCCAGGTGCCACCCAACAGGCAGGAAACACACCTGAGCTCCTGGGATGGCTCCAGCATCGCTCTCACCCAGCACAGAGCAGGGTGGGTACCACAACCCCCCATTTCCAGCACCATGCTCAGCCTCGGGGACACAGCTCCTTCCCACTCAGCTCTCTGGGGCCTTGTGTCTATTATTAATCAGGGGGCCAAGCCTGGTTCCAATTAAGCCATCAGCAGATAGGTCAGCACCTCCAATTCCCAGCACCGGGAGCTGGGGACCTCCCTGAAGCATCCCTCCGGAGGGACCCTAAACATCCCAAACCACCTTGGGACCAGCTGAACAATGGGAACAGCAGTGCCTCCCCCTCTAACTGAGCCAGCCAAATAGATCCCAGCTCCCAAGCAGCCCCCCATATCCCAGGCAACCTGCTGCAAGGCAGGGATGCTGCAGCAGCCCCAGCTTTGGCATGGCCACAGCATCCCAGGGGGAAAGGGGCTCGGGCTCCCTCCCTCCTGCAGGCCAAGAACAAACAGCCCACACTGCAGCGCTCCGGGATGTTGTAAATAAATATATTTTAATGATTCTTTCTCCATTCCAGTTCATTCTTTTATACATTTATTTATAAAACAGTAGTAAAATTTTTTAATCAGAGCACAGTGCATTAAAAAAAAAAAAAAAAAAAAAACAACCAAACAAAACCCCCAAAAGATTAAAAACAACAAAAAATAATCCACAACCGTTTCCTCACGGGAGATGCCACATCCTGTGCTGGCATCAGACAGTGCCAGAGCAGGATGCCGGCCCCACACGTGCCGGGTACCACCAGCAGAACCACCCCATAGCCACGATAATCCCAAGCGAGCAGGGATCTGTATCCCACCCTGAGGCACCCACACAGCCCCTCTGTTACCCAGAGGTAACCCCATGTCCTGAGCGCAGTGTGCGGGTGCTGTGGCCCTGCCAGGGGATGCTTCTCATTACAGGCACTAATGGCAGTGCAGGAAGGATGCCGAGGCCTCCCGGGAGCACACAGTGGGGAACAGCCCCAATCCCAGCTGCAGCCCTGATGGCTGCTCCCTTCCCTGCACCCTGAGACACCTCCAGTGCATCCTCCCTTGTCCTTTCCCCCTCTCCTCCCCATCTTCTGCACTTCCCCACACCCTCATGTCCCATAGGCACCTCTGCAGGGGGCACCGGGGCTGTTCCCCACCTCCCAGTCCCAAATGCAGCCACCAGTGGAGCTTGTCCCTACTTGGCTGGGCTTTCCCTTCACTGTCCTAACCTGGCAACATCCCCCATCCTTGGTCCAGGATGCTGTGCTCTCAGGCAGGATCCCAAAGGGGTCTTCTCTCCCTGGCCTTCCCTCCTCTCCCTGAAAAAATTCCTGTGGTATTTTCCCTATGAACAGTGTCATCCCCCCCCCCCCCCCACCCCAACCCCTGAGCCAGGCTGTGAAGGCAGAAGGTGACAGAGCCCAAAGCAGGTCCCCATCACCGAGGCATCCTGGCTGCGGAATAAGCTGGTGGTGCTGGGAACAGAAATAAACCCCACGAGCCAAAGGCAAAGGAAGCAGCAGCTCAGGTTTGGCACAAACCATTCCCTGATCTCCAGCCACAGCCGGGACCTCCGTGCCCAGCTGCGGGGCAGGACATCTGCTTGCCACAAATATCCCCAAGGAAAAGCATAAAAACCCCTTTATCCTTCCCCCTGAAGAGCCAGGGCTTGGTTATGGGGCAGAGGCACCTCTGTGGGGTTGTCTCAAGAGAGGCAGAACATCACCCGGCACCATGCAGCCCCTGTCCGGGGGCCAGTGAGGTTTGAGGGTGATGGATGCTGCCAAACCCCCAGGAGGCAGGGGTCAGGCCACAGCAATCATTGACCAAGCATCAAACACCCTGTCCCGGTTGTTCTGGAAGCCTTCAATGTCAACCCCAAACCCAGAGCCTCAGCCTCAGCTCCCTCAGACAACACCCCGGTGCTCCGTGGATTAACGTGCTCCAGTTAACACCTCGGAGCGCTCTGAGGAAGGAGGAACCATGAAGGACGTGGCAAAGGGAAGCAGCCACGAGGCTCAGAGGCTGGGGAAGACTCATTGAGGATGCAGGCTCCAGGAGGCAGCAAGGCAGACACAAAGCTCTGAGCATCGTCCCTCTCCTCCCAGGGAAGGCTCCTTGGGCTCCGAGCAGCGCCCTGGGGAAGGGGCTCAGTGTGGCAGGGGGTTGCTGAAAGGCAAAAGCAGCCGGGAACACGCTCCCGGGCTGTGGCATCCGCAGTCAGGCCAACGCCACGGCAAGCCAAGGTCTGCTCCAGCTCCCGGCCAAAGAAAAGCTTGCGAAAGACACGGCGGCACCCGGCGAGCCTGGCTCCGAGCTCTCCCCCCCCCTACCCCGTTGCATAGAGAAAAGGTTCTCCTCACTCCTACGTAGATTCAAGTGCACGGCAGGACGGGCTCCTCCTATGGGAAGAGGGGCCGGTAACTTCACCAACCAAACCCGAAGGTCCGGTCCTCGCCCCAAGCGTCGGCTCCTCGTCACAGCATGTCAGCATCCTCCATGCTGAAGCTGCTCCGGCGACTGCTGGCCTTGGAGGCCTCCGGGGACATGGCTGAGAACAAGGGGTCGGAGGCCAGAGGCAGCATCGTGTCCTGCATCAGCATCAAGTCCAGCTCCTTCTTGGATAGGGATGGGAAGGAAGCGCTGTGGCCGGGCTCCAGGCTGTCTGGGAAGCCCCGGGAGCCGTCGTCGAAGCTCAGGCTGTGGGTAAAGTCCAGCTGGTGGTAGGGAGACTGGGGTGGTGGAGGCAGCGCGGGCTGCGGCTGCGATTCGGGGTCCAGGGCAGGCAGCAGTGGCTCCAGTGTCCCCTCGTCCCCACCGGCTTCTTGCTTGACGACCTGCTGAGCCAGCTCGGCCACATTGACACCCGAGGGCGAGGAGGTGGGCAGCCCATGGACGCGTGCCTGCATCTCCAGCTCCTGCCAACAGAGCACAGGAGGGCTTTGGTGGGGATGTCCCAGGAACAGAGGGACCGAGAAGCTCACTGGGGAGCAGCACAAGAAGAGCTGAAGGATGGAAAACGGTGACCCACACAAAGCTCAGCAACACTCGCTGCGGTCAGGTTGGCTGAAGACTTTGTTCCTGGTGTGACTTGACAGCAGCGAGAGGGAGGAGAGCCCCTGCTGCTCGTGGGGCTGGAGCAGAGCAAAGGGAAGAGCACAGGGAAGCTCACCTGGATGCGGAGCAGCAGCTGCTTATTTGTCATCTCCAGACGCCGCGAGTGATTCTCCAGGTCTCGTGACCTCTGCAGGTCCTTCTGCATCCTCTTGATGTAGTCCACAGATGCCTTCAGGATCGTCCCTTTGTTCCAGCGCACGTCCCTGTCGGGCAGGATGGAAACAGAGATTGCCACCTGCGTGCCAGCAACGTGAACCCTCGCTCCTGCTCCACCAAAGAGCTCCTCTGCAAGTATCACCCGCCCCTGAGATCCACGCTTATCCCAGCCCCACGCCGGTACGTACAGGTCGTTGGCCTTGGGGATCAGCATCCCCAACTCCTTGATGCGGTCGTTGATGTTAAACCTTCGCCGCCTCTCAACTGCAGGGTGAGAAGAGAGGGATGGTTGTGAAAGAGGCATCAGGAGCAGGAGGAGCCCCACAGCCCCCAGCGACCACACTGCTGCTCCTGGCTCATAGGGCTGGGAGCCACCAACGCGCCCTGGGCAGACCCTCTGGAGTTGGGGTCTCAGGATGAGAAACCTTTGGGGTGAACCCTTTGGCACCGTGCTCCCACCCATTACCCCATGAGGTCTGACCTTCCCCCAGTGACAATGAGAAGGACAACAGGGTGTCTCCTGCACCACAGGTATTCAGCAGGGATGGGAAAGAGGGATCCACGGCAGGGGGCTGTGAGGGTGAGGTGGGATGGGAAGGGAAGGGAGACCCAGCTCAGAGAGAGGGGGAACGAGAAAGAGGAGTGATGGGGAAAGGGTGCAGGGTGGCACAGGGGAAGCCACACCGCTCCCGAGCAGCCAGCACTGAACTCACTCAGGTTGTGATTGTCTTTCTTCTGGCGTTCCTTAGCCAGGGCTCGGCTCTCAGCATCTGCAATCGAGACCCACACCATCACCCAGAGGGGACAAGGCTGCATCTGACCCCACGAGCACCACGGGCCGGTGTCGGAGCATCCCGGCACCCCCAGAGCTGCCCTCCCCAACCCACAGGACAGGGCAGGTCTGGCACTCGGCATCACCCCACCAGCTCTGGGCTGGGGACGTACCTGTCAGCTCTCTCTTCTGGGTGAGCTCAGCGGGGCAGGAGCTGCTGGTGACACCTACGAGGGAGGCTGTCACCTGGGGGTCCCCGCTATAGACATTCATGTGACTGCTGGACATCGGGAGCTGGAAACCAGAGGCACAGGCGGGTTAGCTCCATGCGGGGCTGCAGGAGCGGGGCGCAAGCCCGGCTGCTTGGCCTCTGGGCTGTGAGTGCGCAGCCCAGGCAGGTGGAATCGTCTTCCTGGGCCCTTAAAGCAGCTATAATCAGAGCAGCAAAGAAAACAGGACTTCAAAGGGCGCAGCTGATCCCCTCCCACGGCCAACAGCTAAAATAGGGCAGATGAATCACATCCGAGGAGGGCTCGGCAGGATGAATGCCACTGGGAGGCACAAGCTGCCACACGGATGTGACCCGGGAGACGGTGCTGCTCTGAGGAAAGCTTATGGCTGCGAAACCTGGGCTGGCACCACTGCAGGGATGTGGCAGGACAGGTCCCCTCTGTGCCACCTGCAGGCACGGGGCTGCCAGATCAGGCCTGATCTCTTCCTAACGCGCATCAGAGACTCACCGTGTTGGGCATGTGGACTTCGGGGTTCATGTAGCCCAAGACGTCATCCAGGCGCATGATGTCATCGATGACCTCATCAAACTGAAAGGGAAAGGTGTACGGTGCCAACGCGCTGCTCTGCCTGAATTTCCAGCCCCTTTGCATCCCCCAGCAGCTCGGTGGCACCTCCTCACCTCCCGCTCCGGGTTGGAGCCGATGTTGAGCATGGCCATGGGGCTGTTGGGCGCGCTGTTGCCCGCCGAGGAGGACATGACATGGCTGGCTCGGACACCAGGGGATGCAGCGGGGGGCGGCTTGGGAGAGTGGCTGATGGGGCTGACGTGGGCAGCAAACTTGTTCCCATAGGTTTCAGAGAGATAAGCCTGAACCTTCTTATCCCGTGACTTCTGCAGGTGGTACGTGGTGGGGTTTTCCAGGTAGGACTGGACCTGCAAGGAGGAGACCAACCATCAGGGACCCTGAGGGGTCCCCCGTATCCCCTCATCCCCACTGGCTGCAGGGACACACTGTACCTTGAGGACCTCTCCAGGCACAGGCGGTGGGGACTGGTAATGGACTGGGGTGTTGATGGCCGGGGTGGAGGCCACCGGCATCCGCTGCTGCTGCATGTAGTTCATCATCATCTGCTGCTGCATGCGCTCCCTCTCGGCCTCCTGCTGCGCTTGCTGCTTCATCAGCTCCATCCGCAGGCCGATGCGGGACGCCATGGTGCTCCGGGGGGGGTGGGATGCGGGTGCCCACCGAGCACGGAGGTGACCCTGAGAGGAGGACACGGCACCTCAGCAACAGGGAAACTGAGGCACGGGGAGGGCGCAGACACCCTGTACCCCCCGTACCCGCTGTGACCAAACCATGACCGTCCCCGTGCCAGACGGACGGGTCTGCCCTCTCATCGCAGCTCCCCACCATGCCACCCCTCTCCTTGGGGATCACTGGGGCACCCAGAAGGTGACAAGGAGGGGGGGGCAGCGAGGACCCTTGCACCCGTCAGGTCTGGACTCACGTACTGCTGGGTTCAGCCGGAGCCTGCTTTGTGCCACCAACTTCCGAAACACTGGAGCAAAGCCCGAAGGGACAGGAATAAATCAGAGCCCAGGAGCGGAGCGAAAGGGAAAGAGAAAGCAAGGGAAGAGCAGGAAGAAAAGGCCGGCGGGTGCCAGGAGCCAGGGGCAGGGTCGAAGCCTCAGCCTGAAGCTCTTGCTGAGGCACGGGGTGAACAAGGCAGCTTCTGTGTGGGGCCGGCACGCGAGCGCGGCGCCGGGGGGAGGCTGCGGGGCCCCCGCTCCGCACAGACCGGCCCTTGTTCCCCCGTACAAAGGGGACGGCGGCCCATGGAGGTGGGGAAGGGGATGCCGGGGCTCCGGGTGCTGCCCGGCCCTATGAGGGTGGCTTTCCCATGCGGGGCTGCGATGGGGATGCGGAAGATGCTGTATGGGATGGAGTCTGGACCACAGCACCCGCAGGACCCAGAGTAAACACTGCAGGGGAACAGGAGGAAACACTCAGTGGAACCAGGCAAATCTGGAGGGGGCTGCATTTAAAGACGAGGTGTAATTGCAGACAAAGGGGATCCAACGCACCAGGGTGTCGGGGAGGCATCCGATATGCAGTGCCACGCGGTATCCTAAGGGGGAAATTAAATCAAGGCAGCGTGGACAGCAATACATTACATAGATCAAGAGCCAGCTATTGAACAGCAAGAGGAAGGTAATTAATTAGACATGGTGGCCCATCCGAGGGGGATGGGAGATGAGGACAGTTACCAGTTGTGGCTTCATCACAACCAGCCTCAGAGGAGGGCACATGGGGATGCATGAGATGAGCAAGAGCAGAGCCTGGGAAAGGACCCAGTGACACCGGGACAGCCCGCAGAGGATACACCAAGGTTGAAGGGGGATAAAGCACAGCTGGTGCCCACGGGAGATGCACTAACCCCAGATACAAAGGGCAGGGCGAGGGGAAAAGCCTCCAAGAGCCACATGGAGATGGGATGAGGCATTGCGGTGTGGAGGGATGGCAGTGTCCCACCACCCTGCAGGACACCCCCATTGCCCCTTATAGGAAACAGGGGAAGTGCTGCCCTTTCCCCTGGGAAGCTCCCGAAAAGAGGAGCTACCAAGGGTGAGGATGAGCAAGGGTGGCCAGAGCAGGGCCGGATAAGGAGAGGGGGGAAAATAGGTCAGGTTTAAAATAACCCCCGTGGTTCTGCTTGGCTTCCCCCCTCCACCCCAAAAGGCCGAGCAGCTTCTGCTTTCGCTCTGAGTCAGCCCCAGCGGGAAGCAATGGGGACCCTGCCACAGCACCACAGGGACACGTCCCACCCTGGGGTCACCTCCCGCTAGCCTGTAGTCCAGGGGGCAGAAATAAAGCAAGTGGGATGGTGGCTCCATCCGGGATGCCTGTTGTTCCCGGGAAGGATGTCAGTATCCCGCATAAAGCAGAGCAGAGCTGGATCCATCCCTGCGCCAAGGCAGCCCCGGTCCCCACACAGGGAAGACCCCAGTGAGGGTCTGTCCCAGTGCATGGGCAGTGGTTGGCCCGGCTCGGAGCGGGCAGCGCCGTGGGCCAGGGAATGCCTGGGCATTGGGTTTCCTGGTGGGAGCTGCCAGGGCACCTGCTGGGGCAGCGTCTCCATCGGTCACGGAGAGGGAAGAGCAGAGCAGGGGAGGGAGGAAGGTGGTGGGAGAGCCAGGGCGGGCAACGGAGCATCAGGAAAGGGATGGAGAGGGAGAAGAGGGGCGGGAAAGCAACCGGGAGCAGGGAAAGGGTGGATGGCTCTGGCCCCTATCCACATCCAAACTCCACCTTTCCTGTCTGGGGGACACAGAGCGGCTTTTCCATGCCCAGAGCATGGAAAAGGGATGGATTTCCCAAAGGAAACTCAACCTGTGCTCTGCAAACCGCCTGACCCTGCCTCCTTGGGATGCAGGAAAAAGTTGATCCCGCTTTGTTTGAGGACCGAACCCTAAAGCCAGAGCTCCTCCAGTGAAAACCGTGCTCCATCAACACTCCAGAGCCACCACCAGGACCAGGCACGGGGCTGGAGCCAGGGAATTAATCTCCCTTCAAAATATCTCTGGTGCTGTTTAGCAACACGGTTATTTCTGGACCTTTCTTGCTTTTCCTCTGGGGGTGTTACTTCACCAAGAGCCCCACACGCTCCCCCTGCGCTGGGGGTGGTTCTAGATGGAGGATGCCCAGAGGCACCCAGAGCTGCTCTGACACTTGCCTGTGCCCCATGGTGTCCCCCATCCCTCTGGGAGCTCGGTGGCACCATAACCCAGGCTGTGACAACCAATCTCTGCAGTGACGTTGGGAGCTGCTCCACAATGCATGGGGCCGTGATGCTGCAGGACCGGCTGCAGAGAGCCAATGTGGCTACCCAGGGCCACCCCAAGGGATCAAACACCCAAAGTCTCCCTCCCTCCCCATCCCATCGCTGCACCAAGGTGTGGGTTAGAAATAAAAGCTGCTGTGAGGCAGCTTCCAGATTTAGCCCCTGTGAAATACATGGGATCACGTTTCCCTGCCCGGCACCCACAGGGAAGCAGCACCCACTGCCATCCTGGCACCCACACTGCAAACACAACGCATCTCCTGCTCACCCAGCGATGCTCCGGAGATGGAGCCGAGGACCCCCGAGCTGAGGAGCCGCCTGCCCAGCCCCGCTCCATCGTTTCTCTTTATTCCCTGGTCGATCGTGGCCGTTTGTAAGCGGAAAAATCAATTTTGCAGCTTCAGCCATGAGTGGGGACCCCCAGGGAAGGAAGAGAATGGGGGGGGTAGGGGGGGGAATTTGCTGCCCACCCACCCGCTGCTGCGGGCTGCTGCAGAGAACCATGAGGGCAGGAAGAAGAAAGAACTGAAAGCAGCTCTGCTGCTTGCTACCAGCACCAAGCGCCCGCTGAGCCTCCCTTCCTTCCTCCCTCTTCGTTTTCATATAGCGGGGATGGCGAGGGAAGGAGCAGGCAGGGTGCAGGCAGCTCCGATGCCACCAAGCTGCCACCCCACGGATACCCCCAAAGCCACCCCACGGCCTCGTGAGGGTCTCCGCTGGCGCCCCAATGCGTGCGGAAGGAGGATGATGATGGCGCAGGGGTTACCTGGGTGCGGGATGGGGGGACCTCTGGGTGCCCGTGGGTCACAGCTCCTCGTGCTCCTCGCCGGGGCCAGCCCCGCTCCCACCCCAGCCCCACGTTTCCTCATTTTCAGGACCCTGTTTTGAACGCAGCAGCAGCCACGCGGGGTGCAAAGGGGGGAAGTTGCAAAAACCCTTCCAAACCTGCTTGGTTTTCCTCACTGCAACGCAAGAGTTGGTGACTGAACTGAGGAGCAGCGTGGCAAAAACAGACCCAGGCACCGCTGCCGGGTTCCCTGCGATGCTGGAGCCCAGGCTGGCTCTGTCCCATCGCATCCCCTCCGGAGCTGCAGGTAGAGCGGCTGCAGGGCTGCCCGCAGTGACATGCAAACACAGAGGGACAAAAGCTGCCCTTTGTCAGGGGATGGGACACATGGGGATCCCTCATGCTCTGTGTGCCTGCAGCGGATGCAGAGTAAGCATCAGCATTACACAGCCGGAGCCAGCCCCAAATGCATCACACGGGATCCCTCCAGCACCCACATCCGATACCCCATTGGCATCACCGTCACCAGACTGGTGATACCAATACCAGCCAGGATGACAACGGCAAAGCCAGAGGACAACGAGGATGCCTGTGTGATGCCCCAAACACCCAGCACAGTGCCGGAGACCCCCGCTATGGCCCCACTGAGCAAAGCTGCTTTGTACCACATCCCCTTTGCAAGCCGCGGCCGTGCCACCCCGCCAGCAACGCGGCTGGCACCCATCTGCTCCACGCAGCTCCCTCACCCTGCCCTAGTGAGGCCGCCGTGGGGTGATTTATGCCGTGCCAGTGGTGTCACGGTATCATCTTCATCGGCACGCGGAGGAGCGCGGCGCTCTGGGTTGGCAGCCCCAGAAAGGGGCACTGGGACAGGGTCTGACCTGGGGTGTTAGGATGGGGTTCCCCACCATGACAGTGGCCAAACCCTGGCAGTGGGGCAACCTCCCTCATAGAATCCCAGACTGATCTGGGTTGGAAGGGACCTTAAAGCACATCCAGTTCCATGGGCAGAGACACCTTAGACTAGACCAGGTTGCTCAAGGCCCCACCTAACCTGGCCTTGGAGACCCAAATCCAGCACTAATACTGGACATGTCTGAGGCTAGACCAGAGGCTCTGAGGTCCCATCCAGCCGATGCTGCTCTGGGATAAGGATGGGGTGGTGGGAAAGAGGGTGGATGGCCCCATTTTCCAACCCCAAAGAGCATCAGTGCCCTCCCCATCACCCACCCAGCAGGCAGGAGATGGGTCAGGCCAGAGACGATGGGGTGGGCAGGAGATGGGTCAGGCAGGTGGATGGCCAGAGCCACCCTCGCCCTGTCCAGAGGCTCCTTCCCCATGCAGTGAGCATGCAGCCCTGAAAGGGAGAAGGAGCAGGAGGAGGGACTTGGCAAATAGAGGCCGGGGTCAGTTGACAGCACCAGATAGAGACTGAGTCACCAGGACTGTTTTTAGCCCCGGCATCTCAGAAACGTGGACCGCGACGTTGTTAACAGGCACTTGGGTCAGAGGCCAAGTGTTTTCCCTTCCATGCGTTAAATACCGCTCCTGGAAGCAGCCCAGGTATCCAGCACAGTAAAAACATTATACAAGTCTTGTAAGGCCACTAAAGCAGCCCCCAAATTGCCCAGGTAAGCTTGGGATGTGTCAGGGACCCAGTGGAGGGAAAAGCATCTGGGTACCAAGAGCCAGGGCTGAGCATCCCTTGTCACAGTCTCACTACCAGCACAGAATGAATGAGGTCAATAGAAAAGACCCCCTGGTTCTGGTGGTGCTGAGGTTGATCTATAAGAGCCCACCTGTGCAGGGCAGCCATTATGGGGTTAATAACACACAACCTTGCCCTGACCCCCTTCCTTCACCCCAAAAAGCTTCTCCTTCACCTCCAAAACCCCTCTGCACACCTGGGGACAGCGTGTACCAGAGCACGAACCTGGCATCCATGTACCAGCATCATGGGCAGCCCCCAAAGCAGGGCAGGTAGGAAGGGGAACCCCATGGACCCCACCACGGCAGAGCCAGACCCTCCACAGCTGCAGCAGCATCCGCAGGGCGGTTGGTGCGATGCAGGAACCCTGATTGAAACATCACTGTCCAATTGCTCACCCGGGGAATTCACAGCCCTTGGGTGCAAACAGCCCCCGGTGCCACGTTCCTACCCCCCCCCCCCTCCCCAAGCCCCTGCAATTAAAAATAAAAGTGTTAACAGGCAGAAGGACGTTCCTGGGGCCAGGATGAGCCAACGGGAGCGCGGGGCCGGGAGCGACTAATCAGCCCCGTATCGCATCCGCCTCTCAGCGGGGACAGGAGCGGGGTGACCTTGGAGGGGCTGAAGGGTTTTGTTTAAAGAGCTGCCCGAATTCGGGAATGGCTTTAACCTGCCCCAGGGGATGCTGAGATGGGATCTTAGGAAGCTCTTCTGTGTGAGGGTGCTGAGGCGCTGGCACAGGGTGCCCAGAGAAGCTGTGGCTGCCCCATCCCTGGCCAGGTTGGACACAGGGGCTTGGAGCAAGCTGCTCTAGTGGAAGGTGTCCCTGCCCGTGGAACTGGACGAGCTTTATGGCCCCTTCCAACACAAACCATTCTAAACGAGCAATAAAGGGAACTGGCAGCACCATCCCCAGCCCCAGCTTGATTCCAGCAGTGCAGATGCACCACACCACAACGCAAGGATTTAGAGCCACCGCGTACCCCCAAAATCCTAGAAACCACGCCAGAAAGCGGTGCCGCTCATCAAAACCAACCCTCGAGCTCCGCGCACCCCATTGATGCCATTTGCCACGAGCAGAAGGCACAAGGTGACAGCGGCCACCCCGTGTCCCCATCACCCCGGTGCCGGCGGCTCTCCCAGCACCGCCCCCATCCCTCCTCCTCCTCCTCCTCCTCCTCCTCCCTCCCCGTGCTGCTGGAAGGAGGTAATATTTATAAATACACCGCGTCCATCCAGCCCCTGCGCCCGGCGCGGAGCCTCCTCGGAGCCGCCTTTCCCGCAGTGCCAGCGGCAGCCCCAGCGCCGCGGCCGCCCCGTCCATGGAGCCGCAGCTGTTTTCCAACCCCAAGAATAAAACAAGCTGGGGACAGCCTGTGCCTTGTCCGCCCAAAGAGCTCCCCGCTGCCATCCCGGCCCCAGCAGCACCCAGCAGCACCCAGCTACCGCCGCTTACCCGCAGAGGAGAGGGTTCCTCCTCTCCCCCCAACCCCGGCTCAGCCCAGCGCTTCCCTGCTCTGTGAAGGTCAAACTGGGCTCTCGGGGCCCTCGCTGCCGATCCAGCCCCTGCCCTGGCACCGCGCCGGTGCAGCCGGGTCGGGTCCTGGCTGCGGGTGCTGCCGCCTCCCTGGCACCAGTTCTGACCATGAGGTTTTTCCCACCGGGTTGGGCTTTCTCCAGGCGACACCTTCCAGGCTGCAGCGGTGCCCGAGGAGCTCAGCCGGCGCTGAGCATGGCACCCACCCCGACGCAGATAAGGTGGGAGCTGCAGCCAGCACCCAGCTGCCACCCAACCTCCCCTCATCCCATGGGGATCACAAGCCAGGAGCAGGGAAGCGCTCCCTGAGTGCTGAGTGGCTGCAGTCCCCTCCTCGTTTCCTCCTCAAAATTCCCAATCCCCATCCCAAAATCTCAAGGAAGTTTGTCCCTGAGGCTCCAAAAGCATCCCTGATCTATCCCCATTGCCATCAACAGTGTCCCTGCACCAGAGAGCATCCACAGCCCCTCTGCTTGCTCCTAGTGGGGGGGGGGGTGTCCCAAAGTACCAACACTGACTGGCCCTTGGCCCTGCTCATGATTTTGGCGCTTGGGCACTAAGGCAGCAGCTGCATAAACTGTGCTGGAGGATCAGGGCTCACTGCAAGGAGAATTTACAACCCAAGCAGAGCCGGGCGGCAGGGCCAGGGCTGAGCGCTGGGAAACCTTTGGCTTTGCAACTGTTTATACACGAAGTAAATCACTTTCGCTAACAGAGTGCATGGATGGGACGGGAAAAGAGGGATGTAACCGCAGGGAAGGATGCTGCCTGGGCGTTTCAGGTTTAGCCGGACTGAAAGTTGCACCGGTTGAGGTGAAGGAGAGGATTTAAGCCAATGGGAGGGTGCGGGGAGTCTCTTTGGAGTCAAATGTACTTGCAGGAAGGGTGACAAAACCCCGGGAGCGATTCTTAGAAGAGGATTTAAAAATAAGACGGCACAGCCTCCTTGCACAGGCTGTTGGGACCGCGGGGCTGGGGCAGGAGGTGTCATTGAAAGACCTTGAGCCCTTCCCAGGAGACTCCATCCAGGTGAACGCAGCCACCATCACCACGCCAAGCAGCTCCTGGCGTGGTTCCGAGCTCACCTCCATCGCTTGGGGCTCGACCCTCCCGCGCTCCTCCTCTGCCCGCAGGGAAACCGTGTGGTTCCTGCCTCTTTCTTTCTTTCTTCTATCTATAGCTTTGCTCTGCTGCCCGTTTGCTCCACAGAAACCAAGGGGGAAGGTGTTGGGAGAAGGGACAGCTCCATCAAATCCGGCTGTCAGCATCAGCCGGACAGGGCAGGCATCGGGCCGGCATCGCGCCCATCGCTCCTGGCTCTCATTGGTGCCTCCACCTCCAACCAACTCGCGGGTCTCCCTGCAAGGTGAGGAGCTGGAACTGGAGCTCATCCCAAAGCACAGGGCTCAGCCTCCTGCATCCCTGCGCTGGCCACGTCATGGGACCCTACCTACATGTACATCAGCAAGGAAAACCCACTCGGACCGAAACCAGGCACCAACCCTGCAGTGGGGCATGACCTCGAAAGGGGAACCACAGGGGCTTTTTCTGGATGTACCAATGGGGGACAAGAGAAACCCAACAGATGAGCACGTATTTCCTGCGTGCTCACCGAGACATCACCCTTTTTGTCCCTCCAAGCATTACACTGTCAGCACCCAGCACTAGCTCCTGTGTCTGTGAAGAGCCCTGTCCATCTCCCACAGCGAAGAGAGGGTCAGGGAACCCCTCATGAAACAGCCACTGTGGGTTGACACCAGCATGGGCTGCGGCCATGGGATGTGGCGGCCATGGGATGCCGTGATGCTGCCTACACCAAGGACACCACTGGGTTATGAAATGGCTCTCTTTTGGCAAGTGCAGCTCAAGGTCCATCCCACTCAAAAACCCAGGTCCCAAACTCCAGATGTGCCCAGGGACGAGGCCCAGAGATGATGGGGATGTGCCATGGCCAGCATCAGAAGAGCCCCATCCCTCCCCACCATCCATCCGCACCCCCAGAAAGGAACAGCAGCAACACAGGGCTCAGACCTCCTGCATCAACTCAACATCGAGACCCCAGCACCCCACAGCACACAGGGAACCTAAGGGCTGTTTCTACCCTCAATACACACACTTTTGAGGAGCCCCCCCCCCCCCCCCCAAAGCCCCATTTCCCTGCAGTGGCTGTTCTGTTCCCCATGGCTACCCCACTGCAGCCCTGGACACTTCCCCCCTGCTCCAATGATTCACCCCTTTTGTCCCTGTGGGCACAGGGCTCTTCCCTTTCCCCACAGCACCACGAAGAACCGGCAAACAGGGAAACCTCATCACGGCACAGGCAGTGGCAGGGCAGGGGTGGGACCAGAAACACATGGGCCATAAACCCGGCACCGTGAAGCATGGAAAAAGAAATAAAAGCCCTGGCTTGGAATCACAACCTCCATCCATCCCAAACACCCAGATGCCGGAGTCGCCCCATGGCAGGCAGCTCCACCCCGGAGCAGTTTCCTACTGATAAGGGCAGGAGGCAAAGCCAGCATCCCTCGGGAGGTAAAGCCAGCATCCCTCGGAAAACACACCGGCTCCCCCTCCATGCACACCATGGGCTCGGCACACGCTGCCCATCGCAGCCATCCCCATCCACCCCAGAGCCTAAATCTGGTGGTATCCCACCTCCAGCAGCCCGATTCCCAAAGGCCCATCGGTCCCAGCGTGGTTTTCCCTGCTGGGTCCCCCCGCAGCAGGTAAGCGCAGGCTCAACGGGCACCCAGAGCAGGGAAAAACCAGCCTGCGGCCGCGGAGCAGCCGTGCATGAAGCCGAGCAAACATGGCAGGGAAAACTAAAGGGGGAAGGAGGGGGAAAAACCCACCAGGAATCCCCCAAACTCCAGCCCTTTCTGCCTGCTCCGCTCTCTGCTGTTACATAAAACAAATCACAGCCCCCCCCCACCCGTGCCCCAAGGGCCGGGAACGCGCAGAAGCGCCGGGATTCCTGGAAACAGGCCCCTGACTCGCACAGGCTGATTTATTTACCTTAGAGCAGCACAACAACAATACCCACCATCTTTTCTCTCTCTTTCCTAGGGTATTTTTGGGGCTTTAAGGAAATTTCCCCATCCTCTGACTCACTGAGGCTCTAGGGGACACGGCCATGAGGGCTGTCGTAATCCTTCCTGCTTCGCAATTAAGTCATGAATACAATTAATCGGCGGCTGTAGGTGAAGTGCAGCCCCTGCCCCACTCCTGCTGCCCCAGAGGAGCAAGTCGCAACGCCCCCGGTAACCCCTCTAAAAGCTGTGTGATGTGGGGGGGGAGCCCAACTCTTTCTGCACACCCCCAAAGCAGCAAGGGGAGGGGGGAAGTCAGTTCCGGGTGGGACCCCACTCTGCTGCACCCCACAAAGGAAGGCATTTGCACCCTGTCCAAGGAGATCGATGCACCCAAACTCCCCCGTGAACCCCGCGCGTCGGGGGCTGCCGCATCCGTGCCTCAGTTTCCCCTCGCATAGGGTAAAGGGTCCGGGGAGGAGAAGGGGGGGTTTGGTAACGGCGACCCGAGCAAATCTCCTCCTGGGGCTCTTTCCATGCGGGGTTGGGGGGCACTCAACCAAGCGGCCGGAGACCCCCCCCGATCCCTGCCCAGCCGCGGAGCTGCTCCCGCTGGGGGCCGGGCCGGGCCGGGGGGGGGGAACACGTTAATATTCACAGCAAAGGAGCGCAAACAAGAACCAACCCCGGGGCTGCGAGTTCAAAGAGCCCCGAGATGGGGTCCCGTCCCCCCCCCCCGGTACGCCCCGTCCGCGGCACTCACTCTGTGGCTGCGGGGAGACGGAACCGCTCCGTTCCGCTCCGCTCCGTTCAGCTCCACTCGGCCCGGCCCCGCTTGCTCCCGCACCGAGGGAGGGCAGCACCGCCCGGCCGGCTCGGCACGGATGGCCCAGCCCGGCTCGGCTCGGCTCGGCACGGCCCGCTCCGCTCCGCAGCACGCCGGGAGCTGTAGTCCGGAGCGGGGCAGGGCTGCCCGCGCCTGCCGGGACTTGTAGTCCCCGCCTCGGGCACGGCCGGGGCTGGGCTCGGTGATTTCCTCCCCCAAAAACGGGTTTTTCCACCTCCGGAACGGGGGTGAAGGCGGCGCAGGGCACGAGTCCTGCAGCCCGGGTGTATGGGTCTTGTAGCAGCTCTTTCCACCGGGATCATGCGCATCCTTGCACCAGGGCATGTGGCTCCTTGTACCAGGGGCATGTGGCTCCTTGTACCAGGGGTTTGTGGCTCCTTGTACCAGGGTTTTGTGGCTCCTTGTACCAGGGGTTTGTGGCTCCTTGTACCAGGGTTTTGTGGCTCCTTGCACTAGGGGTTTGTGGCTCCTTGCACTAGGGGCATGTGGCTCCTTGCACCAGGGGTTTGTGGCTCCTTGTACCAGGGGCATGTGGCTCCTTGCACTAGGGTTTTGTGGCTCCTTGCACTAGGGTTTTGTGGCTCCTTGCACTAGGGGCATGTGGCTCCTTGCACTAGGGGCATGTGGCTTCTTGCACTAGGGTTTTGTGGCTCCTTGCACTAGGGGTTTGTGGCTCCTTGCACTAGGGGCATGTGGCTCCTTGCACTAGGGGTTTGTGGCTCCTTGCACTAGGGGTTTGTGGCTCCTTGCACTAGGGGTTTGTGGCTCCTTGCACTAGGGGTTTGTGGCTCCTTGCACTAGGGGTTTGTGGCTCCTTGCACTAGGGTTTTGTGGCTCCTTGCACTAGGGGCATGTGGCTCCTTGCACTAGGGGTTTGTGGCTCCTTGCACCAGGGGTTTGTGGCTCCTTGCACTAGGGGTTTGTGGCTCCTTGCACTAGGGGCATGTGGCTCCTTGCACTAGGGGCATGTGGCTCCTTGCACTAGGGTTTTGTGGCTCCTTCCATTAGGGTTGTACAACTCCTTACACCAGGATCCCACGGTTTCTTGCCCCGGTGCCATAGGCTTGCTGCAGCCGTGGTGAGCATCCTGGACATTTGGTGGTGGGCAGCAACAGCCATAGGTCCCTGCTTAATGACTAGGGGTGTTTGATTCCCCCCAGACAGGACCCTCAAGGTGGAATCTGTGCAGGGATGCATGGACTGAGGAGTTTTTCCTATAGGATGGACTTGGGATAAGGTGGGGACTCCTTGCCCAGCCCGAAGCTGCCGCTCCACTGCACCCACTGCACAGGGTGACCCTGCCACCAGGCTGCCCATGGCTCTCAGTGTCTGAGCTCTGCAGGACCCACCATGGCAGATTTGGCTGCAAAAAGTCAGTTTAAAAGGTGGTCACATACCCCAGCAGGGTGACTGCCATCTGACTGGGAGATGGGTGCTGGAGAATGGGTGAGGGGGCCCTTCGGTGATGCATCTCCCATGCCAGACCTCGAGGACCAGCCTCCTGGGTCTGGTCCAACTTGTCTGATGCTGCATCCAGCAGCTCCTCATTGGGGGGGAGATCCAGACACACCAAGCTTTGGTCACATTCACATCCCAGACTTGCCACCCCTTCCTTCTCATTGTCTGCCCTTTGCAGCTGCAGCAATGAAGAGAGAACAAAACCAGGGCATTTTCCTCAGCACGACACCTTCCAATCCCTCATTTATTTGCAAATACATGTGGGCAATTCCCCCAAACCTAACGACCCGGGAGCTGTTCACACGCAGCTCCTTGTCTCTGCACATCCTGCTCCAAACTGGTTCCTGAAGCCTCCAGCAACCACATCGACTCAGCCCTGGGGTCCCCAAGCCGTGGCTCAGCACGAATCTCTTCCTCTCATCCTGCTTTCCCAGCCAGTCCCAGCAGGGATCTGGTTCCCAGTCAAAAAGGTGATCCCAAATTGGTCATTGCTGCAAATTCAAAGGCTCCGTGCACATCTGGAAGCCCAGGCAGTGCCTGGAACCTTCAAGCATCATCTCAGACTTTGTTTTATTAAGAGCTGTGCCAGGTCCTGCTCAGCTGAGACACAAGGCAGTGACCTTTGCAGTTCTTTATTCAGTACAGGACATTTGAAGGCTACTCATCACCACACATAGGTCCGAGGGAGGACAATGTCACAGGGGCCGATATGCTCCGGGTGATGCTCAGCATCCCTAAGCTGACAGGGCAAAGCCAACCCTGTTGTTGGCCATGTCAAAGATGGAGTAATACTGCCGGAGGAAGAGGTTGCCGAGGATCCAGAGAGGCTGCCCACTGGCAGAGGACACGTACGTGCTCTCGACCCCAATGGTGCAGAAACCATCATTCTGTAAGGGAGAAAAGGAACCAATTTCAGTACCAATGGGGTGTGTGTGTGTGTGTGTGTGTGTGATGTTGCCCAGGCCTTTGTGGCTGCTTTGGCTGGGGTTAAACCACCCTTATGGTCACAGAGATGCAAAAGCATCATGAAATCAGCAGCTGGGAAACATAGCCCTTGGGCTGAACTACCCCATGATGGCAAACACCCATTGGGGCTGATATAAGTCACACCTACGTTTAACACATAGACAGAGGGAGGCAGCAGTAACTGGGCTCCACTGATGGCAAAGTAAAGGGTGGGCAGGCTCGGGACGTCGCTGCAGTTGACGACGAACTGCAAAAGAAGCAAAGAGGGGCAGAGATGCTTGGGGGCCCCCCACAGCTCAGCATTGCCACCAAACGCTTCCTCATCCCATGGCATTCATCAGCCCCTCCTGTGCATGGCATCCTTTAACCTACGCCGTAGTCGCTCTCCTCCGCACCCAGCGCCTGCAGGAATGCTGGCAGGAATTGTCCTGGCACCGTCAGCAGGAACGTCCCCGTGTCCACAATGCCCTGACAGCCTTGGCTGCACCAGCCGGTGGCTGAGAGTCCGATGGAGAACCTTTAGAGAGCAGCAAAAAAGGCATCAGAAAAGGCCCCCCACCCACTCCAAGCTCCATTCTAAGCCATGGTGCAGCACTTACTCCTCAATTCTGATCTTCCAGTACAATTCTTGGACCACAGGAGCCCATAAAATCTCCCCTGAGTACAGCAGAGGGTCAACCCCTCCGAGGATGACTTCCCCGCCATAACTATATGATGGGTTGCTGGAAAGACACAAAATTAACCCCAAAGTTCAGGCAGGATGCTCAGGAGAAAGCTGTGTAGCATAAAGTGGGAGGAAACGTGGATGGAGAGAGAATAAGGAAAGGACAGATCCAAGCTGTGCCTATGGAAGAGAGAGACCTGCGGTCTCACCGAGAGTAATAGAAGCTGAAGATGGGCTCAGCGAGCTGGCTCTGCTGCAGCATGTTCTGCATCAGTGTGTTGTAACCAGGGATGCCAACGCCTGGGTAAGCCATGCCCAAAATCCCATCGAAGTCCTGGTAGTAAAAGGGGCTGGTGGGTTCATCCAGGCTCAGGCCAAACTCCTGGTTGCTGATGACAATGTTCTGTATCTAAAGGGAGAGGAAAGATGCTGGGAGATGGCTTGTAGTCTTCGTCCCATCACGCTTATTATTCCACAAAAATACCCCCCAGAGTTGTTTGCCTCAGTTAAATTGGTTTAAAAATCCCATTTTCACTGCAAGCAGGTCTCATTTCTTACATCCTGCAATGACAAAGCTCAGCCATCAGTGTAAAAAGCAAGCGCTTATGGCCAAAGATATCCCTTAACCCAAAGCAGTGATGAAAAGCCCGGGGGCTCAGACTGAGTTGGTTGCAATTCCCAGTCTCCAAGTAAGTTTATGCCCTATGGGAGATTCAGGCACTAATATCCAGACCAAGAAGGTACTTTGAGCTCCCCCTGCCATTTCTTAACCAAATGAGGTGGGTCACAACCACAGCCACGTCTTACCCGGGTCGCACGCGTAGAACTCACTTACTGTCACAGTGTCGTACCCCAACACCACCGACAGGTCACCAAACCCATAGCTCAGGGTACAGGTCTCGCCGATGCCCGAGAAGGTGGTTGAGAGGCTGCTGTTGAACCTGGCATGATCCACTGCATGGAGAGAAGCCCCCAGGTCACATCCTGCCCTTGGACCCGCATCCCGGTCCCCAGCAAGGGGCCATCCAAAGCCAGCCCCACCGGTGGCACAGAGCAGAGGACAAACCCCATCGGCTCTCACTGAATTCCCTGTCACAGCTCCAGTCCATTACATGCAGGGGACGCCTGGCCCTGCCTCTGCTGTATCCCAAGGGATGCTCACCGCACGCTGGGGTCTGGCAGTAGGTGGAGGGCACCCAAAGGTTGGCAGAGCCGGTGTCAAAGAGCACCAGGAAATGCTGCGGGGGGGTCCCGATGCTGATCTCCCCGAAATAGAAGGACTGTGAACAAGAGCGTTTGTGGATGGCTGCTGCTGGCTGCTCTTCTGAATGAGAGTTTCCAGCTCTCTGCCCTCTGCGAGCTGAGAAACCCAAACTGCTCCTGGTCTGGAAGGGCTCCTGCTCCTCAAGTGCTTCCAGGGCAGCTGAAGCACAGAAAGGGGCAGTGATTTGCCTACAACACAAGGCCAGGAGCAGCAGATCTTCTCTAACCACCAAGATCTGCTTCTTCTGAGAAGGGAAGCCAATTCAGGATGAGATGTGCTGCCTCCTGCTTGGCTCCCAGCATCACCCATCCTTCCGAGCCAGGCTACAGAGACAGCAGAACTGCCCATGCCCACTGCAACCCCTTGGCTGGGGAGGCAGCCGAGCTGCAGCTTCCTGCAGCAGCCGGGAAAGGAGGAGGACATTCCTGAACACCAGAACCCAGAAGAGGAAGGGAAAGGTTCAATACTCACATCCAGGTAGTTCGCTAGCGGTTCATAAGCCACAGCGTTACTGAGCTGGTATTTCCTACCAGGGTCCCCTCTGAGGTCCATCAGGAAACGCTCCGGCTCCCCCTTCTCCCGCATCACCTCCCGCATGGACCTGCCTTTCCTCAGGGGGATCCTGCGCGGGATGGAGATGGCACCAAGATGCTGAGTGAACCCATCCACATGCACTGAGGCCAGACCCTGCGCCCTGGCACCCACCCTGGCCTCACCTCACCATCCCCTGCCCGAGCTGGAGGCAGAGCAGGGCCAGCACCAGGCGCCGCACAGCCCTGGCTGCTGGTGGCTCCATGGCAGCTCCTGCAGCACCTTGGCCAGGACAGGGTGTATATAGCTGGGAGCCGTGCCCAGTCCCTGCTCCAGACACCCCTTTCCCCTATCGCTGCACCCACCCACACCAACGCTTGCAGTGTTTGTCACTGCAGCCGCCCTGATTTCCCTTCCTTACCCAGCTATTCAGCCGCTAATTGTCCAGTGCCTCTGATACCGAGACCAAATATGTGACATCTGATAAAAAGCAAAATTATGCTGCTATCAAGAAGTTAAAGTATTTTCTCTTGCCTTCAAGCACCAGCTTGATCGTTCCAGAAAACAAAGGTAAAACACACCCTTTGTGGTAAGTGGAAATTCATGATGCTGCTGTTCCGGGTAGGCAGGAGCCGCCCCGCTGCCCTGTGATGCAGGGCTCCTGCAGGCTCCCCAGTCCCTGCTAGCAGCAGGGATGGACCCCAGGAGAGCTGAGCTGCTTCCATGCACACTTTGGGGTTGGACCATTGCTTTGAGCCTGCAGCAGCTCAGGAAAAGCCCCCGCATCCCTTTCTCCTCCATCGCATCCTGATGGATCTGCCTTTGCTTGGACGGATCCTGCAGGGAGCAAAGGGAAGAGCAAAGACGAGCAGGGACGTGATCAACCTTCACCTGTTCCCTTCCTGCCACCACTGCTGCCGGAGCAGCTCCAGCTCTCAGACCCCCACCCCCATTTCAGAGGAAAAACTCCCACATCCCAGCTCCACACATTCCAGCTCCACGCATCCCAGCTCCACACATCCCAGTTCCACACATCCCAGTTCCACACATCCCAGCTCCACACATCCCAGTTCCACACATCCCAGTTCCACGCATCCCAGTTCCACGCATCCCAGTTCCACGCATCCCAGCTCCACGCATCCCAGCTCCACACATCCCAGCTCCACACATCCCAGTTCCACGCATCCCAGTTCCACGCATCCCAGTTCCACGCATCCCAGCTCCACGCATCCCAGTTCCACACATCCCAGCTCCACGCATCCCAGTTCCACGCATCCCAGCTCCACGCATCCCAGTTCCACACATCCCAGCTCCACGCATCCCAGCTCCACGCATCCCAGCTCCACGCATCCCAGCTCCACGCATCCCAGTTCCACGCATCCCAGCTCCACGCATCCCAGCTCCACGCATCCCAGACCCACACATCCCAGACCCACGCATCCCAGCTCCACGCATCCCACCTCCACGCATCCCAGTTCCACACATCCCAGCTCCACACATCCCAGTTCCACGTATCCCAGTTCCACACATCCCAGTTCACGCATCCCAGTTCCACACATCCCAGTTCCACACATCCCAGTTCACGCATCCCAGTTCCACACATCCCAGACCCACACATCCCAGCTCCACGCATCCCAGTTCCACACATCCCAGTTCCACACATCCCAGACCCACACATCCCATCCCTGTCTCGCCGCACTCAGCCTGTGTCAATATTTTGACACAAAGCACGGAGGAGTTTGTGTCCTTTCTCTGCTGAAATGACAGTGCTATTAACACATCCCATAACGAGCTCCGGGGGTAAAGAGCCTCCCAGAAACAAGTTTGGATCCCGGGAATGAGCGGTGTTACCTGAGCCCTCCCCGGCCAAGGTGCTCCCCATCCCCTTCAGCCACAGACCATTCCTGATGTGCTTTACCCGAATAGCCCCACTTGAGGGTTTGGGGCTCATTTGGATGCCATGGCTAACCTAAGCTGCTCTCATATTCCCACTTCGCCTTAATCACAGGGCCTTATCCAGCTACAAGGAAGAGCAGTGCCTGCCCACATGCACCTCTGATGAGGTTTCCCCAGTGCCCAATGAGGGATGGAGGTGGGGACCCACCGGACAAGACGGCATCACCGAGGTCACCACAAACAGCAGGCAAAGCGATGTCCACCACCACTCGGTATTTGCCTGGGTAGGAGCTGGGGAGCATCAGCCTCGGTGCAGCGAGCAGCGGCTGGAGGACGATGAAGGTTGAGGAGCCCCACGGCCTTTCCATTCACACACCCCAATGGCACAGAGCAGAACTGGCTTTGTGGGGAATCCCATCCCCAAGGCTATGGTTGGGGTCTGAGACCAACCCCAGTGATGCTCTGGTGCACTGCAGCCTGGCGCGGGGTGCTGCTCACCTGCAAAGCGAAGCCCTGGCAGGAATCAGGCTCAGGACTCTCATTCTGGGCTTCAAGGAGGACAGAAGCGGGTGATGATTGGGGATGGTGAGGTTTATTTGTAACAGGAGACTGCGGGAGCACAGAAATCCCGCAGGGACAGGGAGCCGTGCGGGCACAGGGAGGAACATCAAGGTCCAGAGGAAGCCCGCAGAGCTCCGAATGCTGCCGAAGCCAGGCCAGGAGAGGGGCTGGATTCTGCGGCTCTGCTCCTCTACAGCGATGGGGCGAAGCCGATGCGGTTGTTTGCCATGTCGAAGATGGTGTAATACTGTTTGAGGAAGACATCGCCCAAGATCCAGAGCGGCTGCCCGTTCTGGGAAGGCAGGTAGGTGACCTCGATGCCCAGAGTGCAGTAACCGTTGTTCTGTAAGAGAGGAATAACGGGGAGTCAGAGCCTGCTGGGGGGGATACAGGGAAGCACCAGCTCCTCTCCTGGCCCGTCCATAAGGCAGGATGGAGCTGCTGGGCTAATACGTACATTCAAGACGTAGGCAGAGGGGTAGAGTGGGAGCTGAGCTCCATTGATGACGAAGGTGATGGGGGGCATGTTCTGGATCTCATTGCAGTCAACTGCATACTGTGGGGAGATGGTGAAGAGGAGGTTATGGCTGGGACAGCACCCACCATGAGAGATACCCCCATACGTGGGGGTAACACCTTATCCCCTGGCAGTGCCATGTCACCTCATCTTTCCCTAACATGCCCACAGTACCATGCTCTGTAGATGCCACCTGAGTTTTGGGGGCCCACAGCTCACTCACAAGCCTCCCCCCTGCTCCACAGACACCCCCAAAGCATCCCTTGCGTGCTCACCCCATAGCTGGTGAGCTGGGCTCCCAAGGCCTGGAGGAAGCTCTCGATGTATTCCTCAGGCACCGTCAGCAGGAATGTCCCCGTGTCCACGATGCCCTGGCAGCCCTGGCTGCACCAACCGGTCATTGACTGCCCGATGGCAAACCTGGGAGGAGGATAAGGGGATGGACACCATTTCAAGCACCCACCGGCAACTAAACCTGGTTTGGCTGGATCTATACGTTGGGATGCTCTGAAGTGCAGTGCCAAAGCCCTGCCTCGAGCCCATGCCTGCTGCAGTAAGCTGTTGTGGAGGACAACTGTACCGCCTTCATTGCAGGAGCTGCCGGGGTGGATCGTGCCCATCAGGTACAAATACAACTCACTCATTAATGGCAACCTGCCAGTAGAGCTCCTGGGTCACTGGTGCCCATGCAATGTCCCCATAGTAGAGCTGAGGGTCAACTCCTCCAAGAATGAGCTCTCCTCCATAGTAGTAGGTGGGATCGCTGCAAAAACCCAAGAGTTACAGCAGCAGAGGTGGGTAAATCAGTGCAATGCGCATGGGGTAGCGAGGGACAAACCCAGCAGGGAGCTGCATGGGGACAGGCAGAGGGATGCTGCTGCATTAGGATGTGTGGGGTTTTTTACCGGGAGAAGTAGAAGCTGAAGATGGGCTCGGCGAGCTGGTTCTGCTCCAGCATTCCCTGCAGCACGGTGGGCGTCCCTCCCACTGCCAGCGAGGGGTAGGCCATTCCCAGGATCCCATCAAAATCCGCATAGTAGAAAGGCTGCGTTGGCTCGTTCTCACTGAGCCCAAACTCCTGGTTTGTGACCGTGATGCTCTGGATCTGGAGGGGAAGGAGATGCCCGGTCAGCCTGTGCACTTAGGGAAGCCAAGCAGGGGTTGGGTGGGATGATGGATGCTCTGAAAGCCCAAGGGGCCAAGTGTGAGTGGAAACATCACCAGGCAGCTGGGAAATGAGCAGCAATTGCATTAAAACCAACCTAAAAGCCAGCTGGGTAACCGATAGTGGCAATAACTGGTCCACAGTGGCCAGGAAGACGAGGGCATCGCGGGCGCACTCACCCTTAGTGTGTCATAGCCCAAGAGCACCGTGAGCGTGCCGCTGCCATAGGAGAGGGTGTAGGACTGCCCGTTGGTGATGAAGGTGGAGGACTCTCTGGGCCTGAACTTCATGTGGTTGACTGCATGAGAGAGAAGAGGGCAAAGCTCCTGGGTACGCGATAACCGGGCTGGGATGGGGACTCACCTGCGGTCGCTCTGCCAGGATAACGCCTGGGAAAGCAGCTTCTCCTGCAAGGAGCAGGTCTGGAAGAGCAGAACAGGCTGTGCCTCTGCCTCACAGTTACCTCTAAGGCAGGGTTTGCATCCCGGTTCTGCCTGCATCCCTCTGCGGGGAACAGGCACTGCAATCCCAACCACATCAGCCCCAGCGTCAGCAAAGCCATCAGCAGGGAGTGACATGGGGTGAGTGCCAGGGAGCAGGACATCAGCTCCATGATTCACAGCTTTGCTTTTTCCATGCCAGCTCAGTCACTGCAAGCAAGATTTCTGCACCCACAGTGGTCATAGGGATTTGGCCATCTCCATTAGCAAGGCACATGGAATCCCAGACTGGTTTGGGCTGGAAGGGACCTTAAAGCTCATGCAGCTCCAACCCCTGCCACGGGCAGGGACCCCTTCCACTAGAGCAGCTTGCTCCAAACCCCTGTGTCCAACCTGGCCTTGAACACTGCCAGGGATGGGGCAGCCACAGCTTCTCTGGGCACCCTGTGCCAGCGCCTCAGCACCCTCACAGGGAAGAGCTTCTGCCTAAGAGCTCATCTCAGTCTCCCCTGGGGCAGGTTCAAGCCATTCCCCTTGGCCTGTCCCTACAGGCCCTTGTCCCAAGCCCCTCTCCAGGTTTCCTGCAGCCCCTTCAGGCACTGGGGCTGCTCTGAGGTCTCCCCTTCAGGAGCCTTCTCTTCTCCAGGCTGCCCCAGCCCAGCTGCTGGGAGCTGTGTGCGATGTGGTACTCACAGCACGCTGGGTTCTTGCAGTAGGTGGAGGGCACCCACAGGTTGGAGGAGCCGGTGTCGAAGAGCACTGTGAAGTTCTGGGGGGGGGTCCCGATGCTGATCTCCCCAAAGTAGGAGGACTGCGGAGAAGAGAATGGGAATCTCCATTGGCCACAGGAGCAGGGACAGACCGGGCATCCGAGTGCATTGCAGGGTGGTGCAGGGGGAACGCCAAGCTCCCTCTTGCAGGCAAGGAAGTAGGGATGGAGCTGACTCTCACCCTGCTTTTTCTGCAGGAGGATGTAATATTAACTATGTATTTTGTTGCGTTTTCTGTTTCACACAGAAAAACCTCACTTTTCATGGCGGGGGAAAACTCTTCTAAAGTAGAAGCTTAAAGAAGAGCGGGGAAAACCATCTCTCACTCCTGGAGGCTTGGGGTGAACGGATCCCTGGCAGCTGGGAAGGAGGAGGGAAAGGGATGCTCATGGTATACAGACAGGCAGCAGTGGGAAATGGGGTACTCACATCCAGATGGCTGGTTATGGGCTCATACACCACAAAGTCCTCTCTGAAGCGGTGTTTCTTAGCTGTGTGATGTTTCATTCTCCTCAGGTAGTCCTCCAACACTCCAGCCTTCTTCATGTTCTCCCGGATGGATTTGCCTTTCTTCAGTTTGATTCTGCACGGAGGGAAAACCAAGCCAAACCAACAAAACTCAGCAGGAAATCCGGGGATTTGGGCACTGCCAGGTTATCTCTGTGCCCTGCCATGATAAGAGCCATCCCCTCGGCTGCTCTTTACACCCCCTGACCCAGCCTGGGCCAGGACCACGATGGTCAATGGAAATGCAGGAGGCTGGAATCACACCCGGTTGAAGGTGTTCAGGGTCACAGCACAGCCCATGCAGGTTACAGCTCTGTTACCACCCCACTCCCTGCCGGACACTCACCTCACCACCCCCTCCGAGAGCTGGAGACACAGCAGGGCCAGGACGAGCCACTTCATGGTGCGCGAGGTACCCACCGGTCCACACTCACCCTCCCGATGACCGCAGCTGGGCTGAGCTGCCCGGGCTCCCTGGCTTTATAACTGGGCAGCAGCGATCCCCCTTATCTGCTGACCTCTGTTTTCCATTGCCACGCACACCCTTGGCTTCAAGGGTTCCTTTGTGTTTGGGGCCACGAGGGCTCTCGAGGCGTTCCCGTCGCGGGGTGCGAGGTGAGGATCGAGCGGCGCCCGCCTTCGATAGCGAGATGGAAGCGTCCCCATCCAATTGGCGGCCGGCCCTTATCGCAGCGCAGAGGAGGGAGCCACGCGTCACCGTGCTGGGCCGTTATCTCTGCCCAGCAAAACCTGCCCAAGGCTTTTCCCGAAATGAAGGAGCCTTTTTTCCTCCACACACATATTCGGGACCTGGCCTGGAGCTGGGAATGCTGCTGGAGGTGAGGCTTTGCCAGGAGCAAAGAGCTGCTTCCTCCTCTGGTTCTCGGTGTTTTCCCCATCCTCTCCTGCAGGACCAGCTCATGTCACACACCCCAGTCCTGCCGCTGCTTGTGTGCTGTTTGGGTCAGAAATCCTGCAGTTGCCCACTTATTTTGTGGAGGAGCTGCTCCCTTCCCCATCCTGCATTAAGGGGAGCGCTGTGCCTCCCTGCATGGGGGAGGTTTAACCCACCATGGGGTTTCAGCCACCTTCCGGGTCCTCACCCCAGCCCAGCGAGCCAGGAAATCCCTTGTTTGCTTTTCTTTTTCATGTTGAAAGAAGAGAAGCACAAACACAGAGCTCCCGAACCGCCAACAAATACCCAAACAGACCAAAACCCTTCCGGTTATAACCCAAATATTTCCTAGCAAATGACTCCAAAACCTAAATATTTTCTAGCAAAGAGACCAAAACGTTTTGGGTTAGAACCTAAATATTTTCTAGGCCTCCTGCCTTGAATTCCCGCTGCGAGCAGCCTGGCTCTCCACAGTGCAGGTATCACACTCATCCTCATCCGGCACTCATCCCGTGCCAGTGCTCTGCACAGATTGCATTCCCTCGGGAGCAGCGGGGAGCGTGTGTCCTTTGCTGGATATTGAGACTATAATAAAGCAATTATCTTGTTTGCTAGCAGGATTGATAGAAAGATCAACTTATTAAGATTGGATAAAAAGCAAATTCTGGCTGAAAGCAAAGAGCAGTTATCAAAACGTCAATACACCGACTGTTATCTGCGGGTCCCAAGGGGAATCGCCCCTGCCAAAAGACAAAGGAGGAAGGTGCCCTCTACAGCACACAGAGATGCATTCTACTTTTGGCACTTCTTGACCCAAAGATAGGCACAGCACTTGTCTGCTGAGGCATTCAGTCTAACAGGATGCTCAGTCCTTAAATCAGAGATCCCATCTCTACATGGGGCAGGACTCCGCCAGCAGCACGTACCCCTGCTGCCCCAGGGCAGGGCTTCTCCTTGGCACCAAGCTCTGGGCATTTCTCCTCCTTTGCTTTGTGTTTCTTCTTTGTGTTGATGCAATGGCTCAGCCCACATTCAAACAACTCCAGGTCTAAGAATCTCATCTCTCCCAGATGAGCCTAGATCCCTTCTGCCTCCCATGGGCAACTCCACCAACCTCTCCCGGGATACTACAGCAGGGAAAGCCAGCAAATGAGATGAGCTGTGAGCAGCCGGAGGCCTTAAGCACTCCCAACATGAGCCAACAAATCCCGGTAAACCAGCAGAAGTGGCACCATCTCCCAAAAGCTGGCAGCGTGTGACAGTGTTTAGCAGCATTAGAAACAGGATCCAGCCTTCCCTGGGACCCAAAGAGCTCTCCTGCCCACCGACAGGGAACAGAAACCTTTTCAGAGACGCTGCCATCGCCTGGCTTTCCTCATCTGCTCTGGGCTCTGCTTTACCCATGGCAAAAAACAGGGAAGTGGCTGTTCCCAGCTCCAGGACAAGGACCATGTCAGCTAAAACCCTTCCTGAAGAGGCCAAATCCCATCCAAGTGAACGCTCTCCTTTTGACCACCGAACAGCCTCGCGCTGTGTGGTTCATTTAAACCAGCTCCGGCCCCTTTGCCTGGAGCATCAGTGCTCCCTGGCTGGGTTCTGCAAGCAGGAGCAGCTGGTGGTGGGAGCACAGCACACGACCAGCTGTGTTTATGCCCCACACACAGCACACGGATCCTTTACCCAGCGCTGCCCGAGCAGGTTTTAGGGGTTTATTTCCAAAACAGAGCTCACAGGACACAGAGGAGCAGCTTCCATCCGTCTTCAAAGAAATATTCCTCTTTTCCTGTCCAACCGCAACAACAGCTCCTGAAATAAACCCCTGGGCTGCAGGTTTAACATCCCAAACCAGGGCGAGAACCTCATCCAAACACAGCTTCCAGCTCCGACCAACAGCCCATGGAATCACCCTGCAGAGATACCCACATGGGTCACCAGCCCACAGAGAGGGAAAGGTGTCTTATAAATAGGCTTATTTTTTAAGCCTATGGGGCAATCATTGCTCCAGGTAGGACACGTAAGGACACAGGCATTATTCCTTCAGGGAAGGGACACCTGGACAGCACCCCAGACAAAAGACAGGACCACTGGCTAGTCATCATGTTCCATTTATTCTGTATACATTCGTAGTGCACATCAATGTAAGACATGAGCACTCCCCAGGTCACAGAGCACTGCTGCTGTTCTTCACCTCTACGGCTACACCCGGATGAGATACAAGGAGGGACATCCATAGAGACAACCTGAAGAAGCAATTACACAGCGAGAGCAACGCCTCTGGTCAGAGCAACTGAACCCCAACAAACCTTTGGTTTTCTGCCCCATCAGGGATGTTCAGGACCAAAGACACCAGAACAACAACAAGGGGAACCACAGGGGAGGAGAGCTGGAGATAACACAGATGCATCTGAGCCTTTTGACTGTAAAATCACATTCACTTACAGAAGAAGGAGGCACAAATTAGACCCCTTCTTCACAATTAGCCTTTGCCATACCCTGGTCTGTAATTGCCAGCCTCAAAGCTCGCAGGATTTCCACGAATGTATTCACCTTTGGTCCTGTTGGGTAACAGGGATCTAAACCTGTTCTGCCACCTCTGTGTGGCATTTCAAGACGAGCCAAGTTTAGGGGAAAGACAAACTCCCACAAGGACTCAGAGCAGCCGGCCCAGGAGCTGAATTCAGGCACCACCTGCATTAACCATCAGCCAGATACCACCCCAGAGGGCTGAGCAGCATCACAGGGAGGAACAGAGGAAAGACTTGGGGAGGAAAGAGCCGAGCCCTGGTTTGGTTCTTCTCCAGGGAATAGCATGGCTTAGGTAATAATCACAACACTTCAGTCCCAGCTAACACACGTGAGCCTCCCTGCAGAAACAGTGATCATTTAACCCCCACAATCCAGCCTCTCCTTTGCCATCCTCTCCTGTGAGGCAGGTACAGCTCAAGGATATTCCAACGTCCTTCCCTAGGGGAAAAGCAGGAACATAAAATGGGTTAAAAGAAACAGGCAAATCCAAACTCCTGCCATGGTAACAGACAGCTGAGCACCAGAAGCTGCATTCCTACCAACAGGATCTTGGGAAAGGAAGGGTGAAAGATGTGTTTATGCATTCACCAGGGAAGAATGATCAGGGGAAGAAGTCTCATTGATTGACTCAAAACTCAAACAAGAACCACTGACAAAGGTTAAGACAGTCAAACTCCCTCTGCACCGCACAGGCTGCTCACCAAGTCATCCCCGGAACGTCACTCTCACAGGCAGAGGATGGAGACCTGGCCCAAAGCAAAGATGCCTCTGGACAAGGTGCCATAAAGACACTACAAATGGCATAAACATCATTTTCAACCAAAAGGAAACGGTAACGAGGTAAGACTCCAGGGTTATCATCGAATCAGAGTGGTTCGGGTTGGAAGGGACCTTAAAGCTCATCCAGCTCCAACCCCTATGAAATCAAAGTCCCTATGAAAACAAAGAACTGAAGGGATGAGAAAACACTGATGCCCTCCTTGCCTTTCAACCCAACGCTGATTCCTCCTCTGAAACCGTTTCCAGCGTGGCCACTAGAGGAAGCTGTGACACCGGCCAGCACCGCCCGGGCTGTGCCACCCTGGAGCTCCCAGTGCCCACAGACCTGATCCCTGGAGCTCCCAGTGCCCACAGACCTGATCCCTGGAGCTCCCAGTGCCCACAGACCTGATCCCTGGAGCAAGCAGTGCCTACAGACCCTCACAGCAGCCTTCTCCCACTCATCACAGACATGCAGCCAGGCTGGAGCTGCCCCACAGGGTGACACAGCCTAGAAACTCTTTAGTTAAATCATTTATTTAAAGCTTAATGCCGTTAACTTTCATATATATATTTATGTATATATATATATAAACAATTTCTCTTCTCACTTCCCTAACTGAAAGCTAGATTTAGGGGGATACATTGCCTTTCCCTGTCAAATAAATTCATTTGGCATCCATATAAAAATATATTACTTGGGTTTCCTCCCAGTTACAGACCACACAAAGGATGGGGTGGAGAACAGTATGGAAGACAAGCACAAGCACTTCCCCAAAACCCAGTGAATTTAAGCACGAGGTGAACCTTGAATTTACAGTGCACCAGCAAGACAAGAGATCCACGTCCTGCCCACACAAGCATGGCACTGCTCACACCTTCTGACCTGCAGGAGCACGTCCTTGCTCCCAAAAGGGTCACATTTCAGCGTGACATTACAGCACCAAACCCAAAAAGGCTGAACTTAATTCTGGACGTCAAGTTTCTGGACCTCAGAAGCAGGTTGCAACAGGACAAGGGGGTTCTCTCCTCTTTCAGCCCAGAGGTTTTGACAGTGGAAACCTTAGGGACAAGGAGAACACAGCAAGATTTGGCAGTGGGACACATCGGAGAGCACTAGCTCTCCCCACTCCTATCCCAGGGAGGAAGATGAACACAGGCAGCAGAAGGGTGGGAATCCAGAGCACTTGTGTCATATTGGAATAGCTTATTATGGCAAAGAGTGAGCCAGGGAGGGACTAAGCTGCAGTGTGTCACCATGTGGAGAGGGGTGGTGGGACAGCCTGCAACAGAACAAGGAGCAGAGACCCTACACAGGGCCTCATGCAGAGGCCTCACAGCTCAGCTTAGACTCAGCCCTGGTATCAAGAGAAAAAAACCACATCAAAGGCCACAGATTTACCCAGGAGCTGAAGCTGAGCCCTTCCAAGCCCCCAGCTGCAGGAAACCAACTGCACATTCCCTCAGGACACCGCTCAAACATTCCTCATGGAGCCAGCCAGGCACGT